ATAAACTAATTGAAAAGATAATGATTCAACATAATAAACTTATATGTCTGTAAATCATAACCATATTCGTACAATAAGAGTAAATTGGAAGCAACTTATTTTATCATGCTTAAAAAAATAATTTACTTATGCATAAATCAGAGTGACACAATTGCTAGCTAAAATCATGTAAATTTTGAAAACACATATTAGTCAATATTTAAAATTTTGAGAACTCGACAGAACAGGTAACAAACATGGACATGCAGTCCACGAGGATAAATAACCAAACGCAACTTATGCTATAAAAACAAACATAAACACACAATCTATGAGGGTACGTAACCAAACATAGCCGAAGCTATGAAACAAACATGGACACACAGTCTACGAGGGTAAATAACCAAACTCGACTCAGGCCATGAAATCAAATGGGGGTACAAAGCTTAATAATCACATTTCAAACATGCAAGTAAAATAATTATTGTTATAATAAAATTACCATTCTCAATACCAAACTCGCATGAATTGTTTTAAATCTCAAAATTTGCAAAAATTATACTTTATAGCTAATATACCAAACTTATAGTACTTGAGTAGCTAATACATTTCAAAGCTTAACAACCATACAAGAATGCTTTCATCAATCTTGGAAATACACTTTTGAGAATAAATAAATGCACATATCATAATTCATTTGTCCTTCATTAATATTCTATAATTTTCAAAATTAATGTAATTCATAAAAATAAAATGTTTCGATAATAGCCTATGACAATAAAATAAATTAAAGAAAATGCTATTCACTTACTTGTTGAAGTTTCAAATTCCTAAAATATTCTTTCTTCAATTTCTATTGGGATCCTCTTCTTCCACACATCCTATAATGATATTAGTAAACAAAATTTAATAAATCATCTTTTGATTTACAAACACTTCCTTCCAAATTTCAGTTTCCATAAATCTTACAATACCAATATCCAATTATTTCCAATTGAGAATTTAAATCTACACTATCATCATCTTCCTTTTCTTATTGTATATTTCAACTTATTCAAGTTTTTCCCTCCATACACAACACATACAGTCACGAAAGTAGCACAAAGGAGAAACATTTTCAACATTTAACTCTATCATTCCATCCATTCACACGCATAATAGAACCAACAATTGAAAGAATTCAAAATTTCTAACCTTAGTTAGCCGACAGTGTGCACACACAAGGAAGAAGAAAACTGAATCTACAACTGAACAAGGGAAGAAGAATACAGAAATACTGTAGCCTCAACCTACGAATTAATTCTTCCACAGCACCATACTAGCTCTTCCTTCACTCCCCAACCACAAACGAACAGAATAATGGAGGGAGAGATCAAGAGGCTGTCAATCGAATAGGAAGAGAAGATGAGATTTTTGTTTGAACTAGAAAGAAGGAAAATAGAGCATCACTCACGAGAAGAAGAATGAATTCAGTGTCGATTCAGGTTCATGATCAGCACACCAACTCCAACGACTTGATTTCTTCCATCAACCAATGACTCAGATGTGCACAGTAAAGGTAAACAGCAATAAGAAAAACAAACAAAGGTAGGGAGCACAAAGAAGGACTTGAACGTATTAGAACAGTGACAAGCCTCCACTTCCACTAGTACTGAGCATAGAATGGAGGACAGGAAGATGATGGACAGTGATTTTCTTTAGTCTGAACCTTGAAAGCTTTAGAGACAAAATTTCTAGGTCCCTCTTCAGCTTTGTACACGTGTATTAGAAAGGAAAGAAGAGAATAATAATCAAATGGAAGAGAGGGCTGTTTAGTAATTTTGGAGGAGCTAAAACAAAAATAAAATCCCATTTAGCATCAAGAGATTCGAACTTGTGATCTTAGTAATGGGTATCACATACTCCCACTCTACCAACACTTCATATTGTCATAATTACTCCAAACATAAATAAAATATACTCTAAACAACCTAATATATTTGTATTATTATTATTATACATATATTATTTATTATTATTTCTAGGCTATTACATCTTATACACCCTTCTTGTAAGGATATAGATTTTTCTCATGTAACTCTTTCTTTTTGTGGCTCAACTCCTGTGCAAAACATATAAAATCATATCAATAAAATTAAATATATTGACAATAATAAAAATATTAATTCATCGCATTATTCTTACTTGAAATTGTCCCTCGAGACATTAAGCAACAAATTTATCCCACTATTCTTGTGAAACTAATGGCCTTATCAAGTTGGGGACCTTAGCACTAATGTTTCCTCCTATTTTTTAATGTATTTCGCCCCCATGAAATACCAAAATGTCTGCATTGCCTTTCTAGCTTGTTGGATGACAAATTTCATCCAACTAGCATTAATTGCAAACGTTGACTGTAAACCAAGACAATTAATTAGATTTTTAATTAAGTAATTTCAATTAACCACAACGATGTGAGAAAAGTATTTTAACTTCGCTTGCTCCCAAATATAATTTTTTGTAGCTGGACTAACATCGTTCCGGTGCCTAATTGTAATTGACACATTTGCTTTTGTCATAACCCCTATATAATTGATGAATTTATTTCTGTTGGTCTTGATAGGTTGACCTTTGAAATTTCATTCAACTTCATATTTTTGTAGCCTTTCTTCTATTCACTTAGCTATTAATGTCAATCCTCTTATTATTTGACTTGCTTCTTGTTGAATTTTCTAGTCATTCATGTCAACACTAAGATTAGCATTGCTGGGTCTACTAAGACCAGCAATTCTTTGAGAAGCCATTTACCTACAAAAGTAGAAAAAAATAAATGATAAATAATAGTATAAAAAAAATAAAGCACGTAATAAGTAATTTACAGGTTTAATGTAAATCACACATTATAAGACAAATATAGTACATAATAAATAATAATAAAAATTTAAGTCACACAAAACAAGTAACCAACAAGTTTAAATGTTCTTTTTCTTTTTCTTATACATTTTTTATCTTTGTTCTCCTTCGTTACTTGAATGCTTTACCTCTTTTCTTTGAAATTCAAACACCTTCATTATGATCATTTCTCATATAAAAAGCTTCATCCTCAATGAAGTTTTCAAATGATGTCCCTATAAATAGATCATCTTCAACTGTAGAATCATTCATATTTTTGTCTGTTTTACTACTCAATAAAATGATAGACCAATTTGCCTTAGCCGAATCAGAACAAAAAACACTTGTTGAGCTTGTAAAGCCAAAAGGCTCATCTTTATAACCTTTTCTATTAAGATCCACCACTAAAGACCCCAAGTCATTAACTTTAAGATCATTTTTATGATCAACCCAGTTATAACTAAATTAAAATTGAAATTTGATGTAATCTAACTCTTTAAATATTATCTTAAAATATGACATTTTTACATACAAAAATTTTTATCATTGCTACAAAAAATATTTATGGAGTATCTATTTTAAAGCACTTAAATGAAAAACACTCCTAAAAATAAATACAGAATCTTTGGGAGCACTTTTTTTAAAGTGCTTTGAAATCCAAAGAATATGGGAGCGCTTTCACGAAAAAGTGCTCCCATATAAACTTTAAAAAATAATTTTAAAACAAATAAATCTAACGGAGCGCTTTTAAAAAAGTGCTCTTTAAGCTTAAATGATATGGGCTTATAGGAGCACTTTTCATTGAAGCGCTCGCATATGTTTTGACAAAAAAAAGAAAAAGTAAGAAGTTTAAAGAAAGAAATCAACATATGGGAGCGCTTTGGTTGAAGCGCTATATTAGATTAGACATAATAGAGTGTTTCAATTTGGAGTGCTCTAGAAGGTATTATAAAAAAAAATAAAAAATAATAGTTAAATAATTAATATATTATTTAATGTTAATAATTGAATATTTTAATTAATTTATGAATAATATATTAATAATGTTATTTATATTTAGTTATTAATATATTTAATATTATTATTTTTAATTTAGTTTTGAGTTTAATTTTTAGTTAATTTATTAATTTTAATGTCTTATAATTACAAACTATTTTAATAAAAATAATGTGTAAAAGTTTATTTTATATAGTCATTAAGATTTACGCAATTATAAATTTAATTTTTTGTTGTATATAACAATTTTGTATTTTATGAATATAAAAGTTAAATAATATAACATTAATTTTTTATTGTATATATAATTTTATATTTGAAAAATATAAAAGATAGATAAAACAATATCAACTTTTTATATCTAGGTCTTTATCTGCTACTCGCTTTTGAAGATTGAACAGATCCCACACCCACCCTCGAGCTCCTCTCTTCTCCCCTGCAGCCCCACGTTGTCCGCCGTCGAAGTCGATGCCATTCGCTGCCGAAGTCCCTTTAGATCATCGCACCGTCGAAATCAATTTCTGTAAGATTCATCACACCGTTCCACGATCTGAGCGCGTTTTCTGTCAGGTCAAAGTCCGTTCGCGCCATTGAGATACGTTCAGCTCTCTTATGCCGTTTTGCGGTCGAATTCCTCTGTGGGTTCGTGTCGTTCTTGCCGTCGATCTGTAGTTCTCGTGATCCATTGCTGCCATGGGGTAAACTTCTCTGAGTCTCGACTCCTCCCTTTATTCTTGTTCTTGTGTATTTACTGCTCTAGATATTTTCCAGCTTGTTGTGTAACTTTCTTTTTCTTTTTTTTTTTTTTTTTTAACAAGGATTGTTGAGGTTACCTTGAACGGGTCTACAAATAAGAACGTAGACACTAAATTGATGAGAGGCTTGAAGGATGTATTAGAATTGATTCATCAGGACTCGTCCGCTAATGTTGGTATTTTAATTTCACTAGTTTGATTCCTGGGTTTACTGTGTTGGGTTTGATTTGCAGGGTACTTGTCATAACCTAATGAAAAATAATAATAACAATAACAATAACAATAATAATAAATAATAAATTAATTAACTGAAAAGTGATGATAAAATATAATAAATATATTATATGTATATATATTGAAAGTAAATTTTTTAAGGTAAATTGATGGTTTAGTAGCAATACTCATATAACCTGAGGATTCAGGTTTGAATCCTCCGAGTGGGATTTTCTTCTTTTTCAATTTTTAGAAAATTACCATTATATCCCTGGCAGCATAAGATATTTTTATTCCCTTCCCCAGTCAGCGTTCACGGAACCATCGGGGAGAGAGAGAGAATTCTGGGACCAGAAGTTTCGTTCTTGTCTTCTCCTTCCTCTGCCTCATCGCGTCGTCGGCACGGGAGCATCAGAGTCCCGTCCGCCGTTGCCGAGGTGTTTGTGCGACCTTCCTCCTTCCTTCCTTGTTCTGCACCTCTATTTTACAGAGAGCTCCAGAAACCACCGAGAAAATGAGAGAACTTTGGTCTTCCTCCACCTACTTCTTCTATCATAAGCGTCGCCGTTCGTCGCCGTTCGTGTCTGCTTCTTTGGGGTATAACTGTTTAGGATTTCAGTTATCATCCTTCATGTCTCTGTTCGACGTCCCCAGTCGGTGTATGTGTCGGAGGTTGTGTGAGGAGCTTGGTCGTTGGAGAAGCTTGTGGTGCTGCTGTTATATGTTACCGGCAGCCTCTCATTTGCCTTCCTCGTTGCAGCTATGTCAGAATCCCCTCCTCCCCTGTTCAATGTTGTGCGATCCTTTTTCTCTCCTTGCTTTTTCTGCTGCTGATTGAAGGTGAGGAGTTCGAACTCCCTTCTCTTTGTTGGTCCTGTTGGTGTGTTTAAATTTCAGAGATTGTGGTTTTCTACTTGCTTTGCTGCTGGATGTTCGAACATTGACAAAGGGGTTTAGGCAAGTTGGAACTTTTAGATTTTTAGAGTTAGGTGCAGTGTGGATTTGAATTTATTTTGAGTTTATTTTTAAATTTAGATGAAAGGATGAAATTTAGGAAATTGGTTTATCTAAATATTGAAATTGAGAAATTTTGGGAAAGGACATAAGGAAGAAGAGGCTTGGTATTTGTTTGAATTTAGATGCATATGAGATGGTTGATAAAATGTTGAGAGGAAGTTGGGATGAGGAATAGATATTTTGAAGAGAATATTTTCATTAATAATTCAAGCACTAATTCCTATTTATGTATTGATTTTTGGAATATCTATTGGATATTGTTTTGACACTTGATTTTGAGATGCACCTAAGGTGCTTGATAAGATGGGTGCCAAAAGAACATTGAAATTTTTGTGAGATTAAGGATGATGTAAATTTATACAAGGTTGGTTGTGTGAGAGAGAGAGAGAGAGAGAGAGAGGGTTGAATAGAAACAAAGTGTTAAATAAAGGGATTATATAGTGAGTATAGTAGAGGCTGGAGGAATTGAGGCATAAATTATATTTAGTCAAAAACTTAAGTGATCATGGTGTTGTTGATATCGTAAAAGATCTTATTAAACTTGAGTAAAGATCATTGAATTATCTTTTATGTTGAATAAGGTGTTTAGAAGAAAGAGGACTTGACTTTAAAGAGGGAATTTGCACTTGGGGACTTTATGGGTAAGTGAATAGCACCTCATTATTATTTTTTTCAATAAAATTAGTTTGTTTTTGAAATATTTTACATTTTCAAATAAATCATTTTAACAACTACGATAACTATCATGTACTTTGTTAGTTAAATCATTTTGATTTTGGAAATTATAGAATGATGATGAAAGTTAATTAAATTATGGTATATGCATGTATTTTCTTTACGAAATATATTTTTCAAGATTGATGAAGGCATCTTTGTTTATTTTACTTTGGAAATTCTTAGTTACTCAACTCATATAAGCTTGTATATTAGCTATGAAATATTATTCTGACAAGCTTTGAGATTTGAAATGATTCATGCGAGTTTGGTATTGAGAATGCAAATTGTATTTCAAAAATGATTTTTCTCGCATATTTGAAAAGTGATTTTTAGAGGATTTATATAGAATATTGGTTGCTAACGACAGTTCTGTTAGCTCTTGGCGCGTCATGGTATACCTAGCTAGCAAGGTGTTTATAGGAGGTGCTAGTCCCGTGCGATGGCCAACACATCTAGAACGGAGAGATGGTTATTCATGAGCATTGTACTCACATTTGTTTCGTGGCTTTAAGCCGCATTTGATCAGCATTACTCTCGTGAACTGTGTGTCCACGTTTGTTTTGTGGCTTTGGTTGCGTTTGGTTACTTATCATCGTGGAATGTGTGTCCACGTTTGTTTTCGTGGCATAAGCTGCATTTGGTTATTTACCTTTGTGGATTGAGTGTCTACGTTTGTTACCTGTTCTGTTAAGTCCTCAAAATTCTAAAGTTTTAATCAACTTGTGAACTTGAAATTTCAATGGTTTTAATTAACAAGTGTATCACTTCTATTTATGTATAATCGATTATTTTCTTAAGTATAATTAAAATCACATAATTTTAGTTTACTCTCATCTTTATGATTATGATTATGATTTCAAAAGCAAGTTTTTTGTTTAGAATTATTCTCATTTCAATTATTCTACATCATTCTTGAATTTATTTATTTATTTATCTTTCTTTAAAATTTATTTATTGGGGATGCTATTCACTGGAAAAAAATATTTTTGGTCCCAGATTCATTAGTTGACGATGAACCTCCTGCCGATCATTGAAAAGCTTGCTTCTGTATTAGGTGAATATTTATTTTAAGAATGTCTTTTCTTTTGATGTATATTTTCAATTATGTGTTTTATGTTGAGACAATAATTTAGGTGCTCCATATTAACTATAGATGTACTTTTGGTTTGGAAATTTATATAGATTGCCTGTTGTCGAGGAATAAAGTTCCGTATTATTAATTTATTTGTAAATAGTTATTGTAGAGATTCGAGGTGTCTTATTTACAGAGGAAGTTCTACGAAAATCCCTGCATCGGGTTTAGTATCTTTTGTTTGCATGGAAAAAAAATGTTACCGTGATTTCCAACCCTATTTCAAATAAATTAAGATGTTAAATTAGAATTTTCTTGCTTAAGGCTTAAAGGATGTATGTTTGTGCATATATCCTGTGCCGGTAACGTCTAATTTTTAGGGTGTGACAGTACCTAACCAACTTTCTTTTTCATCTCAATAAGATTAAAAAAATAGGGTATTTTGAACTATTTTGGTTCTTCAACAGCTAGCAGTAATGGTCACTTGGTAAGATAGCTTAAAATTTTCATTTCACAAACGCAAGACCTTTAATGGATATTCAAAAGCTCGTCGTGCCACATTTTCATATTTAGAGTTTTGTTTAGACGTGTCAATTATGTTTTTTTAAATCAGTTTTGTATCATGAATATAAGTTGAAGATGTAACACCCCCTTCATTTCTATGTTTATGGTATATTTTCTATCATGGATTTTCTCTAGTTGGACTCTAGTTCTCCTGTAGTTGAAGGAGCAGCATTGGATGGTGGACTTGGACTTACCGCTTGGCATGTGCTTTTGTTTTCATTGTTTATGAAAATTTATTAGTTAATCTTGTAATGTCAAATGCATCAAATTTTAACCAGCTTGTTTTGGAGAAAGAATTATCTGATATGTTCTTTGTTGGCTTTATACAGCTCTTCCTGTATGGTCCAAACAAGATTGCCAGAAGGATTTCAACACAAAATGTGATAGCCAGCCAGCCAGCCTAGCTGTTTCTTTTTTTCCTTATCTTCTGTAATGGCCCTACCGCTGTACGACTCCTAACAGCGTACTGTTATGCCATGTTTTGCACGAGCTCTCTGTGATACAACTTGTTCTTCCCTTTTGCTTATATTTGGCGGATCCCAAAAGTTATTTTGATATTAGTTTGGGAAAAAAAACTTCATGCCTAACTGTTTGAAGATTTATGACTTCATGATATTGCTGCATTATTGCAGGGTATAAAAGCAGCACTGATTTTACTTGTCGGCAAATTTTGCACTTCCATGACTAGACGCAGCTGCAATAGGCTGGACATTGGAAGTGGAGTATAGTGATTCTATTAAAGGTTAATAATACCATGTGAAGCAGTACTGATGGGGTAGGTTGGCTCTGTTGTATGTGTATAGCTATGGAATATATCATAGTTATTCTTGTAAGCCACACAATTTGTTTTATGCTTTCTCTTCCCAATTGATAACATTCTTTGATGTTCATGGTGTGGGAATTTTTGTATGTGAATGATCTAGATTATTAATTTCTTTCAATGTTTTTTTTTTTTTAGTTTCTCCTTATATAATCAAAAGTGCATATAAGAAATGCCTATTGTTTGAAAATATGCTCGTTCTTGATACTGACTGCCTCTTGTTCTGCTGTTTGATACATATGGATGTAATTTGTTTTCCTTTTGGATTTTCTAGATTAATAATTTCAATTTCTTAATCTTTATGCTATTCTATGTCTTTAATTTGTCTTTTCAAATGCTGTAATTAACAAGTTAGACATCTCATAATGGGCTTGTTCGGTTGCAATATTGTTCATGATTCATAAATTTTAAACAAACATGTAATAAATTATTATGCCACTAGACCATGGTTGTGTAAGTCTAATTTGTCTATTTTGTGCAGTGTCTAAAGGGAAGAAAGTGAAAGAAGGATTTGGGATCGTTGAGGTTTCGTTTGCAGTATCTTTTTAGTTACACCCACACATTTCCTTTTTGTGATATCTTGTTAGGTATACTAGTTGTTTTGGATTTCCTTGTAGTGGAACGTAGTGGCTGCACAAAGAAAGGCCTCGTAAGAAGGATGCTTGCTATGTTAAGCGTCCAATGTTTCTGTGGAGCTGTCATTGTTGGGAAATCCAATATTCATGAAGTTAAGGGAGGTACTAATGTTTTATTATCAATTTCATTCTTTAAGTTGAAGTTAGTTGATTTTTAGTTACCATGACAATTTTTTAAGGAATAAATTTATTTAGCATGTCCAGAGTTGGTAGTGAATGTGAGGGATGTGTATCAATTTGATTCTACTAAATTTATGTATATTTTTTTATTTAAAAAATGAATTGGAGTGGTTCGTTTTTTAGACCATTCATTAATTATTAATATGACAAGTTATTTTTGTGATGAAATTTATTTGATAGTGATGATACAAGTAAAATTTGTAGGTTTTGTAAAATTAATCATTTCTAAATTTACTTAGAGAATGTTGTAAGAAGGGAAAATTTTTATTTTTTTTTAAATATATATACAAGAGAGCTTTTCAGAAGAGGTGCTCTTGTAAGGCATCCAAAAAGAGTGCTTCTAAGGAAAGCGCTCTTGTGGGCATTTTGTGAAGGCCTATAGGAGTGCTTATGAGAAAAGTGCTCTTGTAGGTATTTTGTAAAGATCTACGGGAGCACTTTTAGGAAAAGCAAAAGTGCTCCCGTAATCCAATCTCGCAAGAGTGCTTCTAGAAAAAGCGCTCTCATATATATAGGAGCGTTGGCTATAGACAAAAATTAAGTGCTTTGAAAAGCATTTTTTGTAGAAGTGTGTCTTTAGCACTAGATATATGCATTACTTGAAATATAAGAGTTATATTATTATTTTGCATTGTGCTTTGATCATCTTGCTCTTTGGTATAAATGTATACCCATTAATGAAATAGCTGGTGAAGGAAAAAACTTGTTTATTTGGATCTTTTACCAATCATTTTAATTTTTCAAAAATTGTATCAGGATTGATAGTCAACTTCTCAAGAATGTGCTGTTTTAGTCAAATTGTAAAACTCTTATTATGCTTATCTACATACAAAATTTTTGATCTATTAGGGTTATCCTGTTTAAGCTTGGCCATATGCATCTCTACATACTCCTCAACCTCTCCAGAGTTGTGTAATACATATAAATGTGCTTGTTTTCATTGTGAGTTAGAGATTGTAATTACTTTATTGCCCATAATTCCTTCTCCATTAGTTCTACATCATGTCGAGAAGTCGGAAGACTAATATGATTGACATTTGATAAGTATTCAATATAAAATTCAATTGCCTTTTCACAAATGTATTGTTTAACTATATAACCTTCAGGCTGACTCTAATTTTTCACGTATCCTTTTAGTATCTTCATGTAACGCTTAAATGGATACATCTATCTTGAGAAAATTAAATTACACATTTGTATCTCTCTAACTAAATAAATAGTGAGGTGCACCATTATATTAAAGAATACATGCGGAAAATACATTTCAAGTTCACACAAGATTAACACAATTCAGCTTTACAATTTTGGCAATTTTGTTTGGTTAGCCATTTTACTACATAAAGACTTGAAAAAAAAAACAATTTTGTGATCGTGGCTTGAATCATATCGGGTAAAATAAAACGTATTGCCATTGGAATAAAATTTTTCATCAATACGTAGCAATTATGTAATTTTAAACCCTTCAGCTTCAAAGCCTTTTAATGACACAAGACCCTTAATATTTGAAGAGCACCTCATTGGCACTTTAACAGTAGCAAGACTAAAAAAAAAGTCTTCTTTCCTTTTTTAGACACTGTATGAGCCGCTACATGTAGAAATGTGCAACTTCTTTTTTCTTGTGAAGTCAACTCTTCCCTTATCTCCATAGAAATCATATCAAGTATTGTCTTAATGTCATCTTTGGTCTTTCTCTAAATATGAACTAATGTACCAATTAAACCGTCACACGTATTTTTCTCAATATGCATGACATCAAGAAAATGTTTCACATATAAGAATTGTCAATATGGTAGGTAAAAAAAAAATAGATCTTTTCTTTCACCCATATGTCCCAATATGCTTTGTAAAAGATTTGCCAAACTCGATATTCAAATTCTTCACCTTATCAAAATGTTGCTTGCCTATCAGTGGCATAGGTGCCTTACTTTTTTTTGAATTCCTATTGAAATTTTTTTTTCAAGCGTTGATAATAATGATTAGGATGCAATCATTTATGATGTCTGAGATAGACATTTTTCATGCTATATTCTAATATAATTGAATGTATGCCCTCTTCACAAATAGGACATCCGAATTTTCCTTTGATATTATACCCTAACAAATTACCATATGTTGAAAAATCATTGATTGTGCCAAACAACAATGCTCTTAAATTGAACACATATACCTCAAGATTGAGCTCCCACAACAATTTCAAATCTTCAATTAAAGGAACCAAATATGTCTATCATTTCTCGGCTATTTTGGCCACGAAGTTATAATGGATAGCGTCATATATTTTGGCTTCATATATAACCATGAAGGTAAGTTGTAAATTATGAAAATAACTGGCCATGTACTGTGAATGCTACTTTAAAGCTCATGTGGATTCATTCCATCAGTAGATAATACGAGGCGAAGGTTTCTATCTTCTGCTCTAAAGTTAGGGTAATCAAGATCAATTTTTTTCATTGAGAAGAGTCAACTAGATGTTATAACTTCCCATCTTTGATCCATTTATTTGCATGCTATGTCAAATTTTTTGCATTCTCTACACTAATGTACAGCCATTTAAATCTAGGTACAATGAGAATGTACCATAAAACTTTCTCTGGATTCTTCCCATTCACTTTGTAGCGCAAGACATTACATTTTTGACACTTTGTTAATGATGCATATTCATTTTTAAATAATATGCAATCATTAGAACAAGTGTGTATTTTCTCATAACTTATGCCAATTGAACGTAACATTTATTTTACCTCATACATAGCCTTAGAAGCTCATTGTTTGTAGGTAGAAGTTGTTTTATAAGTGTAAGATTTTCTATAAAGCTCTTATCACTCTATCCATTGCTCACTTTCAGGTTGTACAATTTCAACACCACGAACAACTTTGTGAATTCGGTGCAACCATCATATAAGGGCTTTTCTGTGCCACTTTTCAACATCTCTAACACTTCAAGATAATTCTCAAATTCCTTTTCAATTGCATTGGCCATCTCTTCACAACAATCACCCTTATAAGTATTTATGTCATAATCATCTAATTCAAAGCTTCCTCTATACTTCCAATTACTGGTACACTCATCCTCTCTAATCTCTCCATGCTTATGCCAACACTTATAATTTTCATCAATTCCATAGCACACTAAATGGTCTTCCAACTCATATATACTAATTTACTTCAAAAGATCATATCTTACACAAGGACACGCTATTCTTCTAGGGTCTTTTATATGCTCAAGAGCAAACCTCATAAACTCTTTCACACCATTCAAATATTATTTACTTAATCAATTGGCAGACATCCATTCTTTATCCATAACTTTAATCTAAAAGATAATTCATTCAAAAAAATGTGATTAGTGACTCATGAATATAGAGAGGAAAGGAATGATAGAAAGATTATCAATAAAGAAATTGTCTACTCTACATATAATATAGAGTAATTAATGAATCATGAGTCACAATGGATGAGCATTCACATATTCCTTCAATCACTGAAAAAAAAAATTTGGCAGCATAACAGCATAAAGAAAGCATTTTTAATGAATCATGAGTCACAATGCATAAGCATTCACATATTCCTTCAACTATTGAAAAAAATTCGGTAGCATAACAGTATAAAGAAAGTATTTTTCAAGCTAAAGTCTTCTTTTTAGTCCTGATATATCACTCAACAAATTTATTTCAACCATATACAATCACAACATTAACAAAATTCTTACAAAATAATATTTTCAAATTATTATAAAATTATATCTAAAATTCTTTCAAAAATCATAGAAAAAAAGAAAAACACCATAAATATCATTTTGAATCAATGTTTTCTATCTCATTGATCATTTTAAGGTTACACATATCTTATATTATCAATTCCAAGCCAAGAAAAAAACATTCTTTGGCAAATGTAAAAATCTTAATAAAATAGCAATGATTTTTATAGAAATTGCACGTCAGTTTTAGAAATCTAATTCAACTCCAATTGTAATGAAAATTGGCACACTAGTTTCAAAACTATTTTGATCAAATATGGCATGAATTTAAATTAAAAATTATTGAAATAAATTAGTCAAAATTCGTAGAAAAATACAACCATAATAAATATTCCATTTGATCACTAATTTTCATCTTAACAATCATCCTAAGGCTAATTGTATCATCTACTACCATTTTCAAGTCAATAACACATCAAACATTAACAATTTTCAACATCTCACAATAACAAAATGGGCAACAAATGAAGAAAAATTTAAACAATAAAAATCAAGTAATAAAACAATCTATAACATTAAATAAATAAATCTCATAATCTAGAAATCTAAGGATATTGGAAGATAATGAAGAAAAATCATAAAAATCACACACCCACGTACCTTGGGGAAGAGAGGATGAAACACACAGAGAAAGAAAACGAGATGGCAATCGACAATGTAGGTGGTGGCACTTTCACATCGGAGAGGACGAAGATGTTCAACGGAAACATTTGAGGAAGATTGAGAGATTCCTATCGATTTCGTGTGCAAGTAGAGAAGAGAGGATATGCGAGAAGACGAACGGGTGGGAATGAAAAATGAGCATGAAAACTGATTAAAAAAGGTAATAAATGATGAATCTTTTAAACACTCATAATTTATTCCAATATAAATGACAGGTGTTTTAAACACCCTTCATATATTTGCAAGACTTTAAATGACAGGTGTTTAAAACACCCGTCATTTAAAGTTTACATTTTTTTTAATTTTTTTTTTTTTTTAGCTTTTAGAAACTGAAATGTTGGGTAACAATATATGAGGGGTATTTGCAAAACCTGTTATATATTGTTTAGACTTTAAATGATGGGTGTTTTAAATAGCCATTATTTAAAGTTTAAAATTTTTTTATTGTTTTTTTTTGCTCTAGAAAATGAAATGTTGGACTACAATAAATGATGATTTTTTAAATAAGAAATTAAACTTTAAATGATGGGTGTTATAAATACCATCATTTATTATCAGACTTTAAATGATAGGTATTTATAACACTAGTCACCCATC